CTTTCGGCACATTGGCTTTAAGGGATGTGTATGTCCCCAATGATAAGTTATGCATTTTCATCCGACGGTTATCTATGCAATAAGTAGGTTTTCAATGTAAAACCTCGCTCTCCTGCAGAGCGAGTACTATTCTCTAATTTGAGCACATGTGGCTGTATCGGTAGCAGTGTGGTTATACAATATCCATTTCCTATCTGAAAACCAAATTAACTTAAACACAACCTCCTTTGATTCTCTTTAGTGGCTGCCCGAAGCATCTGATCAAAAATTAGTGGGCTAAAGTATTGGGTGGCATAACCATGGTTGACGTACACGGCAATTGGCGAGCAGGTAGATTCCTTTCATATTTGTTACCTTTAGAAAAGTCAGTCATTCCATTCATATAACAGGAGAAAGCCCTGTGTCTTTGAGAATACATACCACCCGGAGCAGTGGGTGCTCGGTACGGGTCTGGATGCTTCCAAGTTTCTAATAGTTTTTCTGTCTCCCGCAGCAGCACCTGCTAGTTTGTGAGATACTGTATGCATAAACCATGTAGCTGAGAAAATCGAGCCGCATATACCTTCTGTTGACGAGGATCGCGGACATTCTTATTCGCATCGAAAAGGGATCGTATATATACTGCTTGCCCGCGCCAAATCTGCCTGTGCACAGCCCAGTCAAGAGCAAGCTTTAGGGAGCGTCGATAAAGCGACCTGTGAGGTAGGTTTAATATGGCTCCCTCATGATCATTGCTCCAACTGCGACCAACTTACGCAACAGGGTGAAGGGCCATGGTGTGTCACGTAATAGGAATTGAAAGACTTGAAGCTTGTCTGTATAGCGGAAAGAGTCTGTCTGAGCTGGAATGAGCCTCTCCGCGGAGTATTAATGCAGTGTGTTTCGATGCTCACCCGGTTTACTACACAAGTGTAGCTTCGTCTTTCTCGCGGTGAAGTCCTGAGTGCGGAAACTTCCCAGATGGTGCTTATGGATTGCCGAAGAAGCGTAATAATAATACTCCGTTCATTTGCCGGCTACAGGGATTGCAGGACCGCTTTGAGGGAAATTCCGGTTGTCTCGGCCCGGCCTTGCACCCTTTGGCCGCTTAAGTTTCGTCACTCACTTTATCCCTACTTACAGGTAGATGAACCCTTAGCTCTAGTCAGTTCTGGGGGAGAAAAAGGAAGGAAAAAGAAGGCCGTGCTCCTCCTATTTCCTCTTGTACATCACTTACATTCACGACTTGATTCCCTACATTCATTTTCTACAATTTGCGAAATACATTGTTGTCTTTTTGTCCAACCTCTGAACCTAGGTCATCATGGCTTTTCGCTTACCTCTTCACCGTCTCCCCGAACAAAATCTGCGGACTATACCTAGATCTGCCCACAGCTCTCGTAACATCAGCCTGGGCACCCGCAGGAATCTTACCTCGGCTGCGCTCCGCAAATGTGTCAGGAATGCTAACAGGCCTGCTTCTGGTGTACCACAGGTTCTGGGGTAAAGCCGCCCACTCATTGCTATCAAGTGCCCTCTTTACAAACCAGCTTACACTACTGTAGGGCCAATGTCTTTCGATCTAGTTTCGCTCCCCTTGGCGGCTATCAGATTCGCACCTATGGTATTATAGCCTCTCTTGCTTTCGGAATCCCGCACTAACAACCTTTTTCAGCGGACACCATAGTTAAAGTTCCTCAGATGGCAGAATCTATCACCGAGGGTACTTTGAAACAGTTCTCCAAACGTATGTTCGCCAATACTTCTTTACTAGCTTGCGCTCACTCTTGCAAAAGAGGTCGGGGATTATGTTGAGAGAGACGAAGAAATAGCAACAATCGAGACCGATAAGGTGAGTGAGACTTACATCTTCGTGCGCGAAAAGAGATTTTTCTGCTGATACCCACCCGTTCTAGATTGATGTGTCGGTCAATGCTCCTGAAGCGGGAACCATCAAAGAGCTTCTCGTAAACGAGGAAGACACCGTTACTGTTGGACAGGAACTGGCAAAGTTGGAGCTGGGAGGTGCGCCTGAGACCAAAACGGAGGAGGCAACCGAAAAGCCGAAGGAGCCCGCACCTGCAGAAGAATCCAAAGCCCCCGAGCCAGAACAGCCCAAGACCGCAAAGGCCTCTTCAGTCTCTGAAAAGCCTGCCGTATCTGAACCCGGACCTTCCAAGCAGCCACAGCCCGCTGCCTCTAAGCCAGAATCTCGCGATGATGCTAAGCCGAGCCCTGGAAATCGCGAAGAGCGAAGGGTATGTTCTCTTTTCTTACCGTATCCTTGCCTACTACTGTTAGTCTTGTCTTTCTTCTGGTCTTGTGCTGATCAACTCATAGGTGAAAATGAACAGAATGAGACTGAGGATAGCTGAGCGTTTGAAGCAATCTCAAAACACGGCCGCTTCCCTGACTACATTCAATGAGGTGGATATGTCTTCTCTTATGGAGTTTCGGAAGTTATACAAGGACGATGTGCTTAAAAAGACCGGTGTTAAGCTCGGCTTCATGAGCGCGTTTTCTCGTGCTTGTGTTCTGGCTATGAAAGACATCCCGGCTGTTAACGCGTCGATCGAGGGGCCCAATGGTGGCGATACCATTGTCTACCGTGATTACGTCGATATAAGTGTCGCTGTCGCCACTGAGAAGGGCCTTGTAACGCCAGTAGTGCGCAACGCCGAAACCATGGATCTTGTTGGAATTGAGAAGGCTATTGCGGATCTCGGAAAGAAGGTAAGCTGCAGACATTCATTTTTGTTCATTGGCTTTGCTGACCATAAAATTTGCCAGGCTCGCGACAATAAGCTGACCATTGAGGATATGGCGGGTGGCTCTTTTACCATCAGCAACGTGAGTAGAAACATGCACATGTCTCGCCTTGTGTATTTGTGTTAACATTTATACAGGGTGGCGTCTTTGGATCCCTCATGGGTACGCCGATCATCAACCTACCACAGACAGGTATGTTTAACACCACACTTTTTTTTGAGGAGTTCATCTAACCATCGAAAGCTGTTCTTGGACTCCACGCCATCAAAGAAAAGCCAGTTGCTGTGAATGGCAAGATTGAGATACGCCCTGTATGTCTCCTTTGCCACGCCCTTACTTTGCCTTTGCTGGTAGACTTGTTGCTGATGCTTTAATAGATGATGTATCTTGCTCTAACCTATGACCATCGCCTTTTGGATGGCCGGGAGGCTGTTACTTTCCTAGTCAAGGTTCGTTCACCACCCCTCAACATGAGCCTTTTGAATCCATCACTAAGCGCAATCCAATGCAGGTTAAAGAATACATTGAGGATCCTCGCCGCATGCTTCTTGGCTAAGCGTCTGTGCTCTGCTCATTCGCCTAATGGCTTTGCTAAGTATGCTACTTCCTCACAACACCTGCCCCATGGCTTAGATGTTTTATTTTGTAGATTAACTACTTTGTGCGCAAGATATTTATTATCAATTCCATGTTAATCAAGTGACTTTAAGCATCATAGCTCTCTTAGGTCGTGGGACTTTTTACCCCGCTGTTTGCACTGTACCTTTTCAAACCAAGGAACCACATTCACTAATATGCATAGCTTAATGGGTGTTGTTATTTGAGTCCTACCCTATCCTTCAATTGCTTCGTCTCTGCGCGGCTCAACCCCCAGAGCTGTCCGCGCTCGAGCTGGATCAGTACAGGCGGCTCAAGAACCTTCATGATCTTAACCAACGTGTCGAAAACCGCACATTTGAACTTATCCATGGGGAAATTCGCGGAAACCGTACGCATGTGAACATTGAGAGAGGTCCCATCCGGCGGCTGGAGATAGCTCATGTACTCTATAAACGCTTGATTCATGTTTGCCATTTGACTCTCGGCCCAGGTGATATGCTTGTTGAGAGAATCTGAGGACTGGGACTTTTGGTATTCTTCGACTGCAGCCTGCATGACGAATTGCGCGGCAGTATTAGCCCACGTCGCTTCGGATAACCTGGCACCAACAGCGTAGCAGAGAGATATGAAAGACCCGGCCAACTCAGAAAGTGAAATTGGGTTTTCTTCTGGCCAATTTCTACTAAAACTTAATCGGGATTCGCGAGCCTGAGAAGTAATACATCCATCTGGATAACATCGGAAGGTATTGGCAAATTCAAATAGTCGGACCTTGACTTGAATGTCATCTGGGAGTCGCCCAGAGTTTGGAAGAACTGATTCAATGGCTAGAGATGAATAGAAAGCAAGTCAGCGTGTCTTTTGAAATGACATGTTAAGCACATACCGTGTACTATATAAATATGGCAATCAAGGTCGCATTCGTTTGCCTGCTCCTGAGCTGCCACTCCGCTGGTGTTTACCAATCTGTACATGGAGGTGCAAAGTAGGTAGTCCAATATTAACAGGTCTATGTCAGACCGAGTATCGGAGTCTGCTTCCATTGTGCATTATTGTTATGCAGTATCATAATTTTTAATGAGATAGCGAAGATGTCTCGTTCCTGTCCACGGAGTATGAACCGTAGTACATATCAATGATATCAATGATCAGAGTTAGATCAACTTTTGCGAATGCAAGAGCCAAAGGCGGTGAGACATTGCTGAGTAAGTCTGACAGGTTAAGTAGGTAACTAACCAGTTACTCGTGACCTTTCGATGTTAGAGTGGCGTCATACAGGACGGTACGTCCAAACCTCATCCTTTTGATATGTTGACGAGCCCAGTACAAATATTGAAGGAAATCCTAGATGCTAAGCAGCATAGGATGATAGTATAGCCTACTTACAAGCCTCAGGGTCTTCTTGCGATCAGCGTCGCTTTCTAAATACCAAGTTCCCCCGGATCGCCTTACTCTTACTTTAGGTAGAGCATAACTCCCCCGCATGATTCAAAGCTATCTAAATGCACATCTAGTGCTGCGGAAGGCCACCACAAAGTGCATCTCAATGGCGTGGTATTGCTCTGGCTCAACCAATGCGGAACTGGTTGATAATCTCTTCAAGGCGGGATTGGTAAAGAATGAAAGAGTAAAAAATGCTATGTTGGGGGTGAGTGGTTCCTTCCATTTATTTCTTAACGTCTCATGTGCTGTGCCATCTCCTTACCCCGACCCCGCGCAAAATTGCGGGGCTGTGGCTCTTGCAGTAGGATCAGGAATGTAACAGCAAGGTAAAGGAAGAGATGTTGGCGAGAGAGCATTGGCTGCACATGTACTTCCCTACCCAAGACGTGTCTCTGACATCAAGGTGCAAGGTTGATCGAGCCCATTATGCACCCTCAAGGCCTTACTCGGACTCCCCACAACCTATTGGGTATGGTGCGACAATCTCCGCTCCCCACATGCACGGTCATGCATGCGAGTACCTCATCGACTTCCTCAGGCCGGGTTCGCGGGTACTCGATATTGGCTCGGGTTCTGGATATCTGACCCATGTCCTCGCAAACCTTGTTACAGATCCCTCTGTACCTGATGACTTAAATGGCCACGTTATTGGAATTGATCATATACCAGAACTTGTTGACTTGGCTGATAAGAATATGCACAAGTCGGACCAAGGCCGCAAATTGCTAGATACAGGAAAGGTGAAGTTTATTATTGCTGACGGCCGTTTGGGATGGCAAGAGGGAGCACCGTATGATGCTATCCACGTTGGTGCAGCGGCGGAAAAGCTCCACCCGGCATTGATCGCGCAACTCCGTGCCCCAGGCCGAATGTTTATCCCCGTTGACACGGAGTGTGACGGGAGTGCTCGTGGATTCGGCGGCGGCCAATACATTTGGGTAGTGGACAAGAGGGTGGACGGGTCAGTCCACAAGGAAAAGGTGTTCCAGGTTAGCTATGTTCCGCTGACCGACCCGCCAAAGAAGTAAACAAACAGTTGGATATAATGTCCTTTTCACGTTCTACATAAGCAATGAAAGTGACCTTGACTTAACTATGTGGAAGACTGCCGGCATTCGAGTTTACATGGATAGTATCACAAAAGTCCAGAGCATTTTCGCCGAGATTATAGCAATAGTTATGATCTGATTGCTTTGAAGTTTTGAGCTTAGTGGAATAAAAGTATACAGAATCTTCATCTTGAATATACACACTAGCTGTCAGTATCAGCGGAAAGGGAAACCTCCTGGGAAATTGAACCCTTGACCCGAGAACTTAAACTGTGGTCCGCCTTGCTGGAAGAAAAAGTGTTGACCGCCTCCTGGCCCGAATGGGCTTCCTTGAAACGGGTTGCCCCTATGAGATTCCGGGTCATTCGGGTCATCACCACTGTCGTAACGCGCCTTGAGTTCGGGGTCAGAAAGAATTTCATAGGCTTCATTAATTGCAGCCATCTTCTTCTCGGCGTCCTCTTTCGTCACACCCTGGGACTTAGCTTTATCGGGGTGATGTTGTTTAGTCAGTTGGCGGTAGGCTCTTTTGATAGTCCGGTCATCAGCATCTCGGCTGACACCCAAAACTTTGTAATAGTCCCTCTGTTTTGAGCGCTTCAATAAGACATGTGCCTTCTGCAAAAGTGATTGGACGTCTCTGGACCCGGGGTGATGCTCTTTGGCTGTATTCAGCGTGTTTATAGCGTCATCAAAACGCTCTTCGTCAAGAGCCGCTTGACCCTGAAAGAGCAGCGCTGGCAGAGAATAAGGATTGACGTCGAGGGTTTCAGAGCAGTACGGAGAAGCTCGCCTGGGCATATGCGCCTGAGTAACCAATGCGTTAGCCAATTGGAACCATGTCAACTGGACGCCTTCCTAGGGGCACAAACCTCGCGGTAAGCTTCGCAGGCGCGCTCCACCAGCAAACCATAGAGATTGTTGGGGGCCGCGGGGTGGATATGGCCTGCTTCCTTAGCCTCCCTCACGTCGCCTTTCACATCGCCAAGAAGTCCGCTTTCATCGCCTACACCTACAAGCAAGTTGATGGCATTGCTAAACTTCCGCGAAGATATTGAATCTTGTAGTTTGCGCAACTGTTTGAGGAGTTTCTTCTCTTTCCGATAAAGGCCGTTGCACGGTTTTGAATCGGGGTCGAAATGGAGACACCTCCGGATTTGTGAAATGCCACGTTCTTGATCTCCCAGAGAATAGAACAGCATGTAGGACATTTGTAAGTGCGGGTCCACCAGACTTGGAGAGATGTGTAGGACATGGGCAAGGTCACTTATTCCTTCTTCTACATCACCTTTCTCGAAGCGACAGTGCGCGCGAGTTTGTCGTAGACTTAGGGAGGCGCTTGCCTTAAGAACAGCCACATTCGCATGATTTACGCAGGCCTCCCAGGCGCCGTGTTGCTCAGCATTCTGTGCAAGAGCTGCAGCATTCCGTGCCTCTTGAATCTCATTGTATTCCAGAGATGACTTCTTGCCGGCCATCTCCAGATCCTTCAACGCGCCTTCCCAGTCAGCACTGTTAGCTCGAAGGCGAGCCCGTTGAAGGAGGGCACTCTCAAAATCTGGTTTTAACCGCAGAACTCGGTCGAAATCATCTAATGCCTGAGAACCTTTACCCAGTGACAAATAAGCCGCACCCCGCTGGAAGACAGTGATGTAATTCGTAGGATCCCTCGACACAGCCGCGTCGAAATAGAGTAATGCATCGCGGGGCGATCCACCAGCGAGATGTGTCTTCGCCGATGCGATCAGCGATGACAGAGGGGTGTCTGAAGGAATATGTGAAGGTTGAAGACCATAACTGGCTGATGAAACGGCCAGAAAGATCGTAAGAGTCTCCAAGGAAAGGAGCATCATACTTACACCAACGCAAAAGGCAATCTGGTTCGGACGGGTCAGTTGATCACGGGCCTGGTCAGTTATCTGAAGATGTGCGGTTATTAAGAAAAACGGTAGAAGAATCCAATGAGTGCGACTGCAAGAGCAGAATGAATGCCCTTTGAAGAGGCAGAAAACGTGTTTACATGATCACGTCTTTGGCGATGAGGGTGATAACCAACCAAAGGAGAAATGTATGCCAAGACTCCAGTCTGGCCTTTACAACTCAATTACATATGGTAAATTACGGTTGTGAAATGCTGAGTATTGCAATGAAATAAAGATGAAATCAGTTCTTGAAGGGTGGCTATTCGAGACTTTGCAGTGGGTCTCAGTATGCATTCACTAAGAACTAGACTCTGTAATTTGGACAATTACACTTCTAATGACTAATACTCTATTCAGCTTTCAATGTATGTATATGTCAAAATCACGTGACTCGGTGTCTGGTTGAAAGGGAGCGAAACAAGTATTGGTAGATACTGCATGCGCACGCCCATTGAACAATTGTGCTTATGTGAAGCTCATGGATTATTTGTGAGACTCACGTACTCTCCTATTTTGAGAACAAAAAATGCTTAATGTCCCTTGGATATGCTCTCGATGCCTGACGCGGTTTGGGACTAGAGGTGCTATAAAAAGGCCGTGGCCGACTCTGCAATGGCGGGGACTGAATACAAGTATGGGTAGTTGAGAGACAGTGTTTAGTATCTCTCAATGCATGTCTAGTGTTCTGTGGGGTTACTACATGACTGACAAGTCAGTTAGGCCCTGACATTTCTTTATCGCTGCTCTCCCGCGCTCGCTCTTTGGCAGCAGAGCATTCTAAACTCTCTGCTCACTTAGCGGATTCCTTTGACAAAAAAATAGCAAAGCGGGTCGGCGAGCTAGCACCGATTGCAAATGTCTTGGAAGAATGGGACAGGACCAATGAGGTATGTCCGCACTTCTTATGAAATGGGATAACTTACTAATAGAGCGGCTTTGAACCCTTTCTTAGTCTATATCAGAACTCAATGCTCTGCTTGATGACCCAGATACTGACCTTGAGCTCAAATCTCTGGCTATTGAGGACCTAGAAAACGTCAAGGCTGCTTTGCCAACCATATCGGAAAACTTGAAACAGACCCTTGTACCCCGTCACCCTTTCGCAGCGCTTCCTTGCCTTCTTGAGATACGGCCTGGCGCAGGTGGGGATGAGGCGGGGCTGTTCGCCTTCGAACTCCTGAGGATGTATACTGCATTTTGCTCTCGTCGTGGGTTTCGGTCCAATGTCATTAAGCTCGAAGTGGGAGATGGCCCGGCGGAGGATCGGCTGAGTGAAGCAATAATGGAAGTTGAGGCGGATGGGGCTTATGAGATGCTCAGAACCGAGTCAGGGGTACACCGTGTGCAGAGAGTTCCAGCAACAGAGACTAAGGGACGTACGCACACCAGTGCTGTGAGCGTGATGGTTCTTCCTAGCTTCCCAGAGACAGGAGGTGGCATGGATAACGCGCTCAACTTTGATGACCCTAGTAGTGACTACTACGTTGATCCCCAAGAGGTTCGTAGCGAGAAGATGCGAGCTGGTGGTGCAGGGGGACAGCACGTGAACAAGACAGAGTCAGCTATTCGCCTGACTCACATGCCCACAGGTATCGTTGTCTCTATGCAGGATTCTCGATCTCAACACGCAAACCGCAAAAAAGCCTGGCAGATCTTACGCGCCAGATTAGCCGAGGCGAGGCAAGAAGCTCGTGAACAGGAAGTCGTTGAACTCAGAAGAGGGGTGTTGGGCGGTGTTGCTCGTATGGGTCGCGGGGACAAAATTCGCACGTACAATTATGGCCAGAATCGTTGCACAGACCATAGGAGTGGTATCACCATACATAGTTTGAATAATGTTTTAGATGGTGGTGAAGGCCTCGAAACTGTTATGGAGAGTGTACGATCTTGGCTGGTGGACCAAGAAGTGGCAACCCTGGTTGCTGACGAGCTAGCAAAAGACAAGGAAGCCTCACGCCCCTAAAAACGAGTCAAGGTGTTAAAAAGGCGCTGAATTTTCTTCTATATACTTGTACTATTCTTCATTCAAGTGCTGTAGATATAGAAAATGCAGTGCTTCTGTGTCAGTGCTATGTATTAAGATACAGCAAATGCATATTAGCTGTGATGCTGCGATATAGCGTTTAAGAGACCAATTGGTGCCATGCGTTCATTGCTTCACCAGCATCAGATATATTGTCTCTTTGGGTCTAGAGAATCCAGGGCGTCCATCGTCTTCTCGTACCTGGTAATATGAAAGCGGTTAGTTCTCAAGCCTATATACGATGGTTGAACTCAGTGTAAACAAACATTGTGAACACTATGCCTCCGCTCAAGATCAATCTGGCAAGTCGCGGAACAGCTCCAGACCAGAATGTAAATAACCCCTCATCTTTGAATATCCTTGCTGCACAGACAAAGCTATTCTTATAGTTCTTAGAAGCTTCTAGTGATTGCATTCTGCTGTCGAATTAGTCCTGAAAAACGCAAATTACACACAATGCGGCCATCAGCAAACCTGGTTTTCACAGTATCAAGAGGTTGTGTGACATATCTGTGTAGAATGGTGTATTAGTTGTCTTTGCTTCTCATACCTGTGGAGCAGAAGCAGTAGCTGTTCAAGTATTGTATTAACTCACACTGTTATGAAGCCTGCCATACCGCCGATTGCGAAGGTGCTTGCAGTTCCCAGCTTTTCTCCAGGTGCGACATAGCTTTCAGCTAGTTGCTTTAACATAGTATAACTCGAGAATCTGGTCGCGGAGTTGGCGGCTTGCCTTGCAGTTGTAGGAACAAAACCCTGAAAAAAACCTCGAATACCTCGCTCCTGGAATATCAGTTTACTGCCATGCAAGAATCCCCGCATACGAGGGTTTGCGGATTTGCGATCGTCAATCCTGCGGGTGTTTTATACATCAGCTTCACCATGTATCGTTGCATGAAGTAGTCAAGGGCACGTAGCAAGGGGGCCCTTTAAGGCAACGGACAATTGCGTTTTAATACTCTCGAATGGTGTCACTGCTAAAAGAGATTCAGTGAAGCCAGCTCCAAAGCCAGCAATTACCGTTCTTGGACCCGAAATCTTGCCATTCTCATCCTGAAGAAGTGACTTGAATCTGTCGAAAGCGACGAACCCTGCAAACAAAACCCTAACGTAAGCACACCAAACACTCGGGCACCCAGGATAGAACTCACGAATGCCTGCCTTGAGCGAATTTCCTATAATCAGAGTTGTGCAGCCGGCGTACCACTGCTTTCCAAACGGGGGCCATGGCAGCTTTTTTCCGTCCGGTAGTCTGCGATTGAGTTGCGACCGGGTTTTGGCAACTGGACATGTTGAGTAAACCGACGTAGGAGTAGCCAAGGGCATGAGCCTTACATTCAGCCGGATAAGTGATTGCTAGTATAATTAGCAAAAAGTCCTGGGTACAGGAGTACATGTGCCTTGATATGGGCGAGCATTACCGATTTCAATGGCACCTGCAGTTGAGCCCGCAATGATAGACCGCAAACTGCTGGGCTGGGTACGCGCATTAGCATTAGGGACTATAGACTGCGAAGGACAATGCACCTTTCGGTTGTGATCCTTTTCCGTAGTACTCATTTCGCTTTTTACCCCCTCTTCTCTTTGGGAAAAAGAACACCAAGAGCTTGATCACCACTGCAACAATGGATGTAAACCAACTTGGGCAAAGTTGGTTTGAGGCTAGCAAACACAATAATACGGGCGCCGGGGAGGACAGAGCACGCAATATCAGACCAAAGCAAACCCGAGTTTGCATTCGAGTGTCTACTTGTAAGTACTAGTAATGACTACTAAATTATGAGTGAAATCTTCAAGCTTCTACATTTCGGAGGGTAAATTGTCATTTTGTAGATGCTACCTGAGTGAGGTCGACCGCTGGCTACAGGCGTAAGCCAAACATCTGACAGTAACCCTCCTCTTTGTTGGTTTTCATTGGTTTTCAAACTTTTTTTTCTTTTTTCTTTCGTTTTCTTTTTTTGCTTTCTTTCTTTTAGTCTTTCATTTCATTGAAAGCTTTCGTAGATTCCCCCCAGGTCTCCAGGTTTCTCTTCTCCCAGCATTTTGGTCACAGATTGGAACTGCACCAAATCGAGGCTGTCCTTATCTGACGGATAGCAAGATGCACTATCTTTGTCAGGATGAAAAGGGGTATGAAGCATAGAGCGGGTTTGAACACCACCTGCAAATAAAGCCAATCTCTCAATGTGTTGACAAATAAGGAAAAGAAAGGCTTCATATCCACAACGCCGAATAAATTCAGAACACCCAACGACCGTGCAGCAGCTCGAGAGACAAAGAGAGCGGAAAAAAGAACCCAAACACCAATGTGGACTGCCCCAATACATTGCGCCGGCCTATGACATCAGACAATAGCTTAGATCATCCAAAGCTGCATGATAAGTGCCGACAAAAGGATAGAGAAAACGGGAAAGGCGAAGCAGAAAAGTAGGGGGAAAAGCCCAGTCAATGAGTTGAGGTACTTGGCGCGATGAGTTATCCGAAAACCATCCACCAACGCCGAAAACATGACAAAGTGCTGGGTGACAACATGTAAACGCCGTTTGTGCTCAAAATCCCATAGAATGCAACATCAATATTTACATAAACCCTACCACCTTTCTAGTGTTGAAAGGGGGAAAGACGACGACGAGCGAGCTAATGGTGGCGGAGAGGGTAAGATAGGCCCTTGAGGGGACTGGAACAGAAAGGTAACAAAAATATGATACAGATGTGGTCACCGTTATCATATCACCATTGTCGAAAACAAACAAGGGAAGTCATAACACACCATGTCAAGTTTGCATTGAAAATGAGAAGGAGAAAAAGAAAAGACTTTGATTGTGGCTTGTCAGGTAACATGGCCAAGGTCGTTCAAGATTGAGAGCATTTATAGTAACAAACAAGACAAAAAGGAGAGGAGAAAAAAAAAAGATGTTCTTACCAAACCGATGTCAATTTGGCGACACCTGCGCAGGTTGACTCTTGCCACTCTGTTGTTGATTTTGGGAAGTACCAAATTTGTTCAACTCATTTTGTAGATTGCGGCGCTGACCTTGGCCTCGGCCTCCACGATATGAACCTCGGCCCCGACCGAATTGATAATGTCCTCCATTCGAGTGATTGTTGTGGCGGCGTTCACCAAAGTTCTGGTTTTGATTTCCACTCATTGCGAGCTGTGCTTGTGATGCATTCGCGATTGGGCGTGGAATGGTTTCCGGCGATTCATATACGTATAATTTCTTGTCGATATTTTGAGGGATAGGTTGTATTTCGGTTCCAAGTTCCTGCTCAATCTTATATAGATTGAAACGATCATCCCAGTTGATGAGGTTGATTGCTAGACCCAGATGACCAAAACGACCAGATCGGCCTATTCGGTGGAGGTAGGTTTCAGCGTTCTTGGGGAAGTCAAAGTTGATCACGACGTTTACCGCTTGAATATCAATACCTCGAGTTAGCAAATCAGAGCAAACAAGATTGCGGCATACGCCGTTCCGGAAATCATGGAAGACTCGATTCCGATGTTGTTGTAGCATCCTTGCATGTGAGTAAAAGCAGGAATAGCCTAATTCTGTGATCTTCTTTGCGAGAAGCTCAACGCGATTTGTTGAATTGCAGAAGATGATTGATTGATTGATTTGAAGTTTGGAGAAAAGAGTGTTTAGGCAATGGACTTTTTGCTTTTCTTCCACAAAAGCATAGTACTGAGTGATTCCTCGGAGGGTGAGTTCATCCATAAGGTTGATCTCGTAAGGATTGCGCATGTGTTTATCCTAACAAGGACGTCAGCCCAAGAGAAATGAAAAGGAATTAGATGAAACGCACCTTAAACGATTTCACAATCAATGGAAAAGTCGCACTGAAGAGCATGACCTGACGGTCTTTAGGATGAAATGACAATAGCTGTTCAATTACAGGAGTGAATTCAGGAGACAGTAACTTGTCGGCTTCATCCATGACGAATGTAGGACATTCAGAAAGGTCAGCAACGCCCTTGCTAGCCAGATCTAGAACACGGCCTGGAGTTCCCACAAGGATGTGGACGGCGTCGTTCAACCTGATGATGTCATCCATCAACCCAGTTCCTCCAGTGGTGACCATTACGTTGATCCCCAGATGTTTCCCGAGAGTTTTACAAACATGAGACGTTTGGAGAGCAAGCTCTCTGGTTGGAACAAGGATGAGTGCTTGCGTTTTGGTGCTTTTAGGATTTATGCGTTCTAATGTGGGGATGACGAAGGCCGCTGTCTTTCCGGTGCCATTCTTTGCTCGGGCCAAAATATCCCTACCAGTCAGAGCAACTGGTATCGTTTCTTCTTGGATGGGCGAGGGCTTTTCGAAACCAGCTTCGAAGATGCCCATCATAAGTTCGCGTTTAATATAGAAATCTTCAAACTCGAGGCCTTTAGTGGCCGTCACGTCCTAAATTGGGGTTAGACTTTGAAGAGATAAGCGTAGACGTTAGAGGCAGCAAACCTCAGTCTGTGGCCGTGCATCTTTTACAGGGGCTTTTAGTTGGTCCTTCCACCTTGTGTCTGAGCTTGCTTCCCTATAACGACATTACTGAGTAACTTTGTCTAATACCAACGGAACACGCATAAGCACATACCCTAATGTTGTGTTGTTAAGTTGTGAGGCAAGAGCTTCAGCCATGGTGATAATCGCTTGCCCAGATGAAGGATAATGGAGAGAGAAGATTTGGGTATCGAAAGTGTTCGTAAGAATGGGCCTCACGATATCGTAGATGAAGTTGACAGTGTCGAAGCTAAAACAAATGATGGCTTCTGCTGTTCTGGACCTTATGGCAGGTTCCAATGAATGTAAGAGGGGCCGAAGGTATTATAGGTGTACTTGGTTGCAAGTTGGCCTTTGGAAGGCTCGGAAAATGCGTGATTCTTCCGGGAAGTGAGGTAGAATATTCGAAAAAGAGCACAGTGGACAGAAAATATTGGGAGTCTTTGCGTCTGGGTTGAGTGAGATTGCTTGTGGGTGCCAAGGCAAAGTTGGCTGTGAGTGACCTAGTTTCAGCTGTGAAGGAGAGACACTGGCTAGTGTAAATTAGAGGCACCAATGAAGACAGGTAAGATGGCACCAAGCTTCCCAGGATCTCAAACAATATATTGAATGTTGTGAGAGTCGCGTCTGTGGTATTTCACGGATGAGAAGGTTGAGCAACCCTGTAGTGCGAAGTACAATAAAGGTGAAAGATTATGAATGAAAACTTCTGTGGTGAGTGGGCAGTAGCCTCGCCGCCTTTACTGGCCTCTAGCCCTGGAGTACTAGTAGTACGGCTAACCGCAAGAAGATCAACTCCAATGAGCTCAGTGTCTTTCTCCACTATTACCAGTACCACCGATTTACAACTCGGAACGATGCCGCTTTTAGGTACTGTACATCATGCCCCACGTGACAGTGTTAACTGGTACGATGCTATAGAGTCAAGTGAACTGGCAGCCCTACTAGGTAGAGCTATGGTACTATATCCTATTGTTAGCAGTCAACATGAGGACAAGCAATACGGCCGAAGCTGAAGAAATTGGTGTGTGGCTTATACCACAAGGGCCATGCCTGTTATGACATTTGACAGTAGGTGTAGACAGTGGTCATCTATTCTATTACCTCTTGTATCTCGGCAATGTGCTCCTGCCAGTCTATGCAGACCTATTAAATCGCAGTCTAATACACTGTAAATCGTGTTAGATGACACAGTCCATTGCCTACAGGACCTCTCGACAGCTGCTGCATTTCTCCACCATGACGCAAGTGTTTTCAGCCCTATATGTAACAAAATGCCCCAGCATCCAACCATCGAGATGCCATAAAATACCCCGAACCAGCTTCTGGGTAGGTTAATCCATGAACAAGCAGGGAAATGTAGGGATTTATGTATTTTCCCAATCACTGATCGACTTTGTTGTTTCATGATGCTAGGCTATCGGAAGAGCCCACCAAGCTCTCTTTCAGTTGCTAGCCCAGGTCCTGGCAGCTTGCCGGACGCAAGAGCCCCGCTTTTGAGATCAAGGGTCATTCAAGATGCCTCTAGAGAACGGAGCGTGTTTAGGTAGTGGTCTTCCAGTTGATCTGCACCAGTTGGATCAATTAAACGAATGAGCCAGACACTCAGACACAGACATTTAGTCTATGTTTTGCAAATCCATCTTTCTCGATAATCAAGTTGCATGCTTATTACCTTTCATACGGACTTCTTTACCCCCCTTCTTTGCCCGCCGGTGGCGGAGGGTGTGTAGTATATGACGGAAAATATTGGGCTTTACGTGGAATCAGGACCACTTTGAGGCGTCTATTCTTGTCCACATAATGGGACACTCTTCGTACACATCAGCCCTCGTGGATTGTTATTATTTGCAAAATGTTCTGTACAAAACAGAGTGTCCCCATTCCGATCACTGGTGAAATGTTAATCTGGTCTGCCCTCGTTCAGGTTCTGCCAATCTGAAAAAAAAGGCACTTGTTAGCTGCAGTACTGATAGCTATATCTGGTCTTGATACTTATACTCACTCCTTCACACGGACATCAGGAGCTAAACTAATCTCTGCCCTTGAGCCAGGTGTGATTAGTATAAATTGCACACCTACTGACCGCCTCGCGGCTAGCATCTATTGATTGTTTTGTTAGCAAGCACAGTGTAACAGGACTTGGAAACAAGAGAAAAAAAAAGAGACATACAAGCATATCAATTGCCATCTTCCTATTAATGTGGTCCATATACACGTCACTATTAGGCCAAAGTTAGTGACAGCCAATGCGCTTGATGATCACCAACTTACAATTCATCCAAGCAACGGACAGGAGAGCCCATAGCCTCCCAAAGTGCTAATAGAAGACAAACTTGGGAGAAAGACTTTTCACCACCCGAAAGCGTCTTTGCACCTCGCCCAGTGCTATCCTTTGTTATATCAGGTTCGACCTAGGAAGTTTTGTTAGATTGTGTCAGAGGATAAGAACAGCATTATATAATATACCTGTAAATCCAGCAGCTTGCTCTCATGGTCAGTTAGAAGTCGACCACGAAAACTTCTCTCGCTTAGTAAGTACGTAAATTGCGCCTTCGCCCGAGATGAAATGTGAGATCTGAAAATCACCCAACGTTTCTTGCGATGTTTGAGTGTTTCAATGAGAATCTGCAGATACAGTCAACAGACTTGGGCACAAGGGCAAAAACATAGGAGAGAAGACGGGGAGGGTGAAATATACATCCGCAAGTAATCTGAATTCCTCCACTTGCTTAAGGGCGCGGTCATAAGCTGTGGATGCTTTGGCGGCTTCAGCGGCGATCTCATCGCGAGATGCACCCAATCTAGTAGTTAGTTAGCTCAAGGATCTTGGCGCCGTGTGTTTGAAGTATCTGACTGTTGGTTATAACGTTGTATATCCCTATTAAGCCTGTCCAGCTTTTTGTCCAAACTAGCAGCAGTCTCACCTTCAGGAATTGGAACCCGCGGTGAGACTAGGCTGGCTTTCTCACTGAAGTCGATAACGCGTGCAGCAATTTCCTCTCTTTTCTTATTTATCCTCTCTTTTTCTTGTCTGCTATCATTGATTCGTTCAACCGCAATGTTTTTATCGTTAATGATCTTTCGGCGTTTGTCTTGTCCGGTGCATACTTCACTTTGAGTTACACGGAGCTCTTCCGTCGACGCAGCTATATCGGCATCCTTAGAAGCGATTTGTTGTTTAATGGTTTTAAGCTCCTTCATCATGGTTTCCATGGCCTCCACACTGTCTTTCAATGACCCTTCGTTGATGAGTTTCTCTTCCTTGGCCCCCTGGAGCGTAGCTCGCAGCACATCAAGATGGTCAGCTTCCACAGGTTCTTTGTCAAGTGCATCTGTAAGCTCTTCCACATGGTCTTCCTTCCTTTGTAATGTGATTCGTAACTCATTTGTACTCTTTTCATGCCTCATACGAGCCTGCCTGCACCCCTCCAAGCGAGACCGAGCAGATCGGAATTGCTCTTCCTGATCACTGAGTTTACGTCTGAGGTCCGTTACCACATCACGTTGAACCCTGCAAGAATAAACGTCAGTGGATAAGTGAGGTAATGGACACATTTAAGGATCACCTGATTTGGGAAGCTAGATCCGATTTCATTCGTGGGTTGCCACTATATACAGGCACCGGCGCCTGGCTTGGCTCCCCCGCACGGTTGTAAGATAGATGGATGCCTCGGCGTCTGTCCATTTGGTCAATACAGTAACACCGCTTCACATTCCTAGGTTTCTGTCCATCAAAGAGTACTGAAGATGCTTCTTCTAGCTTTTCGATTAGAAGCATTTGCTCAATACCATGGTTAATGATCAACTGTCGACGAACGAGTTCGTTGTCAATCTGCATATTTGAGTATATCAACCTAATGTAGCTGGCTCTGCGAATTAAAGACACCTACCTGAAGTACCCGTAAAGCCGTATCAAACTTAAGATCAGGCTCGTGTTCTGATGTATCAATGTACCCATCATTTCCTATAAATATTGGGCATATGCTTCCAGCATTGTTAAAAAGGCTTGCTCTGTAAAGCCACGGAAACCGAGGAAAGTGGCAACGTACCAATTGACATTGTGCATAACACGAGAAAGAATGTCCATGTCTCTTTTAGATGTTACAATGAAGCTGTTTAATGTCGTGCCGAAAGAGTTTTCTAAAATAGATGACCATTCTGGCTTCAGCAGGGTCACATGGCGACCGATGGGACCGACAGGCCTTTCGGTGAAGCCCTGTTCTTGTTGAACAGCCCTCAGAAGAGACGGCATTTTGTCGTGGAAACCTGAGCTCTTGGGTCCTCCTTCTTTGCTTAGACTTCGTAAAAGCTTCTCAGCTTGCTCAACGTCGGCCTTCGTTCTGCCAAGTGGCGCCGCCAATGAATCCACTTCTTTCCCAGCCACTTCCAACTCTCGGTATAGGCGATCTGTATTGCGTTGATGTTCCTCATACTGTGCACTGGCATGTGCAGCTTCTGCTTTTGCTCGCTCGAGTTGTTCCTGTTTCCTAGTATAACTGCCTCCGCTAAGGTCAGCCAGACGTTGGTTTTCTTCTTCAATCTTTTGCTGCGTTTCGTTTATCCTAGCCTCTGCTGCTTTTAAATAATCTCGTATCTGACGTTGCTGTGCCTGCAATGACCATCAGTAAAAAGCCCGGAAGATCTATACTGGAGCATTACCTGCAAATCATGACGTTCAGTCATTTGTTCGTCCCACTTTGCTTTAATCTCCACCTTCTCACTTTGTGCGTGTTCGAGTTTGGCAGTACTCTGTCTAACGTATTCAGCAGCGGCTTCAGTTTCCTCCTCAGCTTCTCGTATAGCAGCGTCAAAGCTGCCCAGCTCAGCTTCAGCGGTTGCAATCCTCTCATCGGCTTTAGCTAGTTCAATCTCTAAGGAGCTCCTAATCTACGGCCCATCAGCAACACCGGATTGCAAAACCATAATGCCTGGGTTTCTTACTCTTTCCTGTTCCTCGACCTGAGCCCAAGCCATTTGGCTCCGAACAGTTCTGACCCTGTTCCTTAGGGATTCGTGTTGATCAGATATGTCCAATTTCTGGTTTGCTGCAACTTTGCGGTTTTTTAGGGTCATAATATCTTGCTCTCGCCCCCTGAGCTTCTCCTCAATCTGATCAGCAGATTCTTCGATCAGTCGATAGTCCTGATCAAGCTGCTCTAACTGAACACCTTTCACAAAGAACTTATATTTCTCAGCAGGACTTGAGCTGCTCAAGAATTGGCGGGCCATGTCTTGTGAGAGAACATTCATCGGATTGTCAAATTGTAATGTGAAAAAGTCGATGATAGCGTCTAGTTCGGCTTTTTTGGTAGAAACTATACGCCCATTCTCTGCCTTAATTTTGAAGCCACTTATTCCAGTTTTTGTGAAATGACGTTCAATAACAATGGATTTTCCATAGTCATCCGGCATATAGGCACCGTCTCCTTGATTCTTGATGCGCACAACGATAGTGGCACTCCTACAGAACATCAACTAGTAAGCATATAACCTGTATAGTGATAAATGCACGTACTCTTTGCCTTCTTTGATAAAACTCCTAAGACTCTGACCGCGATTTGTAGCAGATGCTTTGCCACCCAGACAAAGGGTTATAGCTGTCAGAACTGCGCTCTTGCCGCTGCCATTCTTCCCAACTATGAAATTAATTAATGGCCCCAGTTCGATACAAAAGTGGTCATGACACATGAAGTTGTAGCATTCAACACGTTCAAGAATTCCATGTTCAGCAGGGACATTGGGTTCGTCACTAGCGAAAGAGTACTTCTCCTGGATGAGTTGCGTTGCACGTAACTCAAGCTCGTCCTCGTCGTATTCTAAAGCCTGGGTGATAGACCGCTGAATTCTTTCTTCATTTTCACTGTCACTCAATCCGGTTCCTTCGTATGAGGCTGGAGACTTGGACGTGCGAATACGTTTGCGCTTCTCATGAGCGTTAGCTGGGGTAAAAGACACACACGAAGAATACACACCAAATGACGCGCACTGGACGATGACCTTGACCTGTTATCCTCTCCTTCATCCCATTCCCCCGGCTCTGAGGGTCCCTGTGGGCGCTTTAACGATGACATGGGTAAAACGCGACCGGCTCATACAGATAATCAGTATTCATTCATTACAGAGGCAGTGACAAAGATAACAAAATGGTATTAGAATCCACTATATAGGATCTAGTGGCCTTCCGATCAAGTCGAATAAAACTCATTCAATGCGAAAGTAGGTCATATTTACCCTATAAGCTTGAGGCGCGTATTGAGTCGCGTAAAATGGCCCAAATTGGGTTTCCGTTATCTCAGCACCTTAGTGCAGGCCCTCTACAAATTAGGAATAGCTCAGAATGACTGATGTTCCTTGTAAAGGGCCTGATGAAATTTAGGTAGCTCTTTCTATATCAATTTTTGTTTAATAAATTAAATCTAATGGCTTTCATATAATATATATTATTTAGATTGTTAAGAAAATCAAGCTGATTTTATAGCGGAGCGCGAAGCGCGAAGCGCGAAGCTATTATTTTATTTTATTGTTGTTCTCCAGCTAGGTCTTTTCCCCGCTTTTCCCCTAAAGTGTGTTCCTATTGGTCGCTCAATTGTAACGCCACGTGACCGCGTTCCCTGTACTATTCTACATCAAACTTGCTAGGACGGGGTCCCTAAACCCTACCTAGGTACTAGTGACCTTAAACTGTTTCGCTCGTCTTGGGCAGTGGTCCTTGATCCGCTGGCCTGCCCCTAGTAGATAATAATTAGATTTGTACTAGCTAAGCATAGAAGGAGATATACATACATGGGCAGGAAACTTCTTCCCAACTCTGCCAATGCCGAGTTTCCACATATCCCTACTTATGAGGTACATATCAATGCACGATATTCTGATTTTGTCAGGTATCTTTTAAGACATTCCCTAGAACATCCCACTTGGCACTAATAAGCGAACGACCATCTTTCATATATATTCTGGGTACCTATGAGGATGGCGTCTCAGGTTGTTTAGGGGTGGCGTAGAGAAACGAAGTAGGTAAAGTATCTATCATGCCCAGGTGGATGGTCCATCAGGGGCAAAGGGGTGTAAAGAGGCAGAATCTCTGCTCGCATTGGCTGATACTATACTATGTTACTCACTGTACGTCGAAATATTTACTTCACTTTGAAATATCCTTTCTTATTTTTCTCTTCGCGGCATTTTCTACATAAAGAGCAGTGAAACAAAATCACATATTGTATAGACGCGGTGATCAATAATAGCTGACTGAGTCTTACAAGAAAGAGCTGCAGATTTACAACTATGCCGCCACCATAGGCTCTTCCGCAACATAGTGGAGGTAGGCACCAAGCAATTTTACCCCTTCAATGTAATTCCTCTTATCAAGCTTCTCATTGATGGAATGGGCAGCATCAGTTGAGCTGCCCATCGGCAATAGCAAAACGTTCTTGCCAGTCGCCTGTTCGAAGCTCAGGGTGACAGGAATGCTGTTTGCGTTAGCTTTAGTCATGGCGTAGCATCGAGAACTTGCTAGAAAACATACCTGCCACCTTCACGTGTCAAATCTGGCTCAACACCAAATACCTGATTCACTGCCTTGCTTGCAGCAGCGAAGTTCCAGTGTTTGGGACTGGCAACCCACCATTTTCCATCATGCTGCAGCCACACGTCCAAAGTATTCTTGCTATTCAGCTTTGCGAATTCTGCCTTGATGTAATCGAAGACGAGTTTATTCACATCGTTGCTTTCCATATTGGGGACAGTCCGAATCGAGAATTTACCAATGACCTTCGCTGGTATAACTGTTTTGGCGCCCGGCGCCGAATATGCGCCTTCGATGCCATGAAGCGACAAAGATGGATACCTCCATCTAGCCATGAGCGTTCTTTCTTTCGTTGGGTGGATGCTAGTTTTGCTCCCCAGGGATTGATGAAGGTCGTCCATTGTGTAGCTGATATTGGGATAGAGGGCCTTTTCTTCCTCAGTCAATGGCTCGACAAGGTCCATGATGCCGGGTATTAAGATGTTGCCATGAGCATCAACAAGTTTAGACATCACATGGACCAAGTCTGTCATGGGCTCATGGGCAGATCCACCGAAAACTCCGCTATGAAGATCCTGAGCGGGCCCTGTGACACTGATAGAGTAATAGTTGCAGCCTCGCAGGCCGTAGGTTAGACAGGGTTTCTCTGTTCCAAGCCAATAATTGTCCGATATGCAGACGGCGTCAGCATCCTTGAAAAAGCCTTTGCTCTCAGCTTGAATAAACTCCTCCAATCCTTCCGAGCCATACTCCTCCATGCCCTCAAAGCAGCAAAGAAGGTTGACTGGCAGCTCAACACCAGCTTTCCTGTGAGCCTCGATCACATTCAGCCATCCCAAGACGGGGCCTTTGTCGTCTGTACTTCCGCGGCCGTACATCCTTCCTTGGCTGTCAACCGTCAATTGAAAAGGCTCAGTGGCCCATCCATCTTCCTTTAACGCTGGCTGGACATCATAATGGCCGTAAACCAGGATAGTTCGCTTGTTTTTATCATTGCCATACCGAGCGATGACAACTGGGGGTAGGTCAAGGTATTCCTTTCCAGGCTGTTTTCCCAGCGGCCTTTGATGCACCTCAGCGCCAAGTGCCTCCAACTCGGAGGCAAGAAACTGAGCCATCTTTATAGGAGAAGGTCATGGGTTAATTCTATTTGTAAGGAGTAATAAAGCATCACGTACTCTGAAAACGTCCTTCCGGTTCTCATCTTGTGCAGAAACAGAAGGGATCGCAACAGCCTTTCGCAGACCTTAAGTTCTGTCAGCATGCTGCATGGGAAGATAGAATAGGCAACACTCGACTTACGCTCGATGAAAGATTCGGCAAGGCCGTCAACCCTAGACAGATGAAACACCAGGCCTTTAACACATGTCCACTTGTTGGGTACTGAAGGAGGAAGGAGGACAATGATGGGAGAGACACAATAAAACAATAGAGGATCAAAGAAAGAAACTTACTGCTTAAAAAACGGATCAAGCTGGGGTGCCATTTTTCGATCACTGATATGTCCGTAAAAAGAGCGGCGACAGGAGAAGTAAGGTGTCCCTAAGAATGGAAAATATGGTGTCCAATATTCTTTAGTGGAAACCGAGAAAGATAAAAAGGGTTTATATCCCCTCAGTGACGTTGCGACGCGACGGGGTAGGAGGGGCATTTGGGTGCGTGCGGAAGAAAATCGAAGTGACACGATTTGCTGGTTGGGAGGGGAAGTTTACCTAACACTTTAATAATTGAAGCGCTAAAAGGTAGTAACACGCGACCTTTATGCCGCAACTAAGCGACAATGACCTCTGTACTATCCTACTAGTAGTAAGTACATAAGGAAGACTTACTGGAACCCAGTGAGGTTCTAGCATAGTAGATACAATATGGAATCCAATACAGTAACGCTAGAGCTAGAATACAAGTTTTGATACAACATCTGTGAGCTTCCCATAGGCCATGGACAAGAGATACCGCAAGCGTCGAATCAATTGGACCCTCTAGAAAACCAAAGCAAGATCCATGGGCTAGAGTTAAGTCAAGATGGGACGCTCCTCCTTCATTCATCTCTTCCCCAGGATTCTTTTCGCAACTGTCGGTCTTCTCTAGCCATCCGACGCTTTGTACCCCATCTTGATTGTACCGCTTCTAAGACTTGTTTCTGAATTTCCTTCTTTTGTGGGCCAGCTTCACATACCATAGCAATGAACATTGGAGAGCAGTCGAAGCGCTTAGCCAATTTCCAACGGCTCCAAGTCATCGGGTCGTTTAGTCGCAGTCTGCGGATCTCCTCGATGTCTGAAGGATTCAAATGATATTTCTTCTCCGCAGGTGTTTTGAATACAGAGGGTAGTTGACCGGAATTCCCACTGTTCATGGAAGCGCCACGGAGGGATCGCCGAACATCATCGAGAGGGAGAAATTTCGTCGGTGTATGGTATACCGAGGGAGCGCTCGAAGGCGGATTGTGAATGATTTGATCATGAAATTGGGTGGATGAAACACCAAATGACGCATCTGGCTTGACACGTAGGCGCTGTTTCGTCCGTCTATACGAGGATTGGTGCCGGCGTGTTTGTAGAGTGATCGACTCGCACGAAGACGGAAAAAGAAACGGCAGGGCTAGAAACGACCGTTTGGGAGCAGTAAGACAAGTTGCCATTTTCTTTTCACTTCCTATCTAGGACCTCGGATTGAAGTTATGCTGAAAGACCCGGCTGATTTCAATCCAGGGTAAACTAGAACGACGGAGAGAGCGAGTGTTAGCAACTATATCTAAAATTAAGAGCACCATTGGGGGTGCATAGTATGTGGAAATGCCTGAGGACATACTTTCGCAGGTCAAATCTATAGCATTATTTTCTAGCCGCGTTGAAGCCAGGTTCGGACACAAAACGTTCTTGGAGATTCGAACATTAACTTTTTCCTCCAGAGCAGCAAGTCCCGTGACGGGGGCTGATTAGATACAGCCTAGCCTGATTTAGTAGTAACTTACGAGAGGTAATATAGCGTAATTACAAGACGTTTCAATAAAGGTACTTTGCCACTGCTAGAGCCTCAATCTCCTTAATGTCTCGATTCCTCGCAAATAACTTCATTATCGCTACCAGATCAAGTCCATTCTTCTTTTCCACACTAGTTGCCCAATCAACCCAAGATATCCCTATCTCACACTTTGTAGTATGTACAGTGACTTTATAGTGTGTGATGTGTAGGAGTACCTCCTTGAACCGGGCAAAATGAAACATAGCTAAACGTACGCAAAGAGGGCGTTAGATGGAATCTCAGTAGTTCGACAATTATTTACCAGCATACTATGAATGATGCTAGTAGATGTCTTTCAAACTTAGCTTCCTTGTCCTGGCTTCGAAGCCAGTGCCTTAGGCATACATAGCATGCTTCCAACTCGGTTAAAAGTGACAGGACGTGATCACGGACTCTCCTTCTCTCGTTGGATTCATCTGAATCATTATTCATGCGTTGTCGAGCGCTTAGCAAATACAGTCTGGAAGGATACTGGTAGTGAGACATTGCTGCCTCCTCTCTACGTCTTGACCTTTGCTACGGCCTCCAATGCCTGTTGAAACCGATAGCGAAGATCAGAAATATCTTCCAAGCCAACGCTTATCCTTACCAGGTCAAATTCTACACCAAAAGAGCTTGCCTAGGCAGGGGCATTAGAGACGGACGGGCAGATAGTAATGAGGAGAACTGAAAAGAAAATCGACATACCCATCCAAGCTCACCGTAGTGGGCTAATAGAGTGTATGGAGAACTGATTTTTTTTAATTAATACAATCTTCTTCGGGATTAAGAATGCATGTGGTAACACTAACCTCAAAGTAAAATTGGTGCCGAGACTGGGGCCTTTGTGGACTTCTAGGTGATCAAAGAAAGCAACAGCTTGGGCCGTTGAGTAGAAAGTAACAGAGAACAGGCCACCATAGCCACCATTGGGGTGGCGAAAGGCTTCGTATAAGGGCCTTGAAGGGTTGCATTTAGGGTAGAAGACGTTTTTCACTATGTCTCAAGTCAGACGCATTCCTTTTAGACCGAAAAGGTGGAAGAGCACTTACCAAGTGGTGAGCTTTGCAACATTTCTGTGATCTCTTCGGTGGTGCTATTGATCTTCTCGATTCTTGACACAAAATCGCGGCTATTCCTTTCCAAGAAGATTGCGTCTTCAGCCCAGAGATTATCCTCATAGTCGCGGGCAAAAGTGTCTTTGAGAGATGAATAGTATCGTCCATGTGGATTAAGCACAGCACTACCCCCCATGACATTACTGTCTCCGCTGAAGATTTTTGTTAGACTACTGACCACAATATCGGCATATGGCAGCACATTGATGTTGAGGAAATTGCCCACTGTCTCGTCCACAACCACTGCGAAATCGTATTTGTCTGCGAGAGAACGGATGCGTTTGAGATCCGGGGACTTAAGCAATGGATTGCCAGGAAACTCAGTAAAGACTGCGAGAAACTTTTCCCCAGAGTCTAATCGCGCCTCTAAGTCGTCTATGTCCTCGGTCGAGCCATTTCCATAGAATAAACAACCGGGCCCCCATTTCTCAAGAGTTTTTAGCGTGTCAATGTAAGGAAAACCAAAACATATGCTTTTCATGGCGCCTCTGGCGGCTAACAACATCTGATGGGAGTTGAAGATTGAGCTCATACCAGTGGGGAAAAGGAACACATCAGATTCTGTTAGCCCTGCTACTCTTCCCTCCTCAGACGTTGTGTTGAGGGCCTCACTCAGTTCCACATCCGCTTTGAGGACACCTGCTATACGTTTGCGCACAGCTCTTTTTGCTTGGTCTGCTAGGGAAGTATTCAAATTCCGGCCAAAACGCTCTTCGATGAACTGGATATGTTCTCGCCCATCCCGTACACCATCCGTGGTCATCGACGAGTCTGTTGGTGAGGTATGCGTCCCACCTGCCCGAAAAGCACCGTTCACCGTGTTCTTTCCCTGGTATCTTCGCGGACCTTTACATATCCGCTGGGCTACAGTGTCTGTCGCAGTAGATTTTTTTTCCACAAGAAAACCGTCTCTCAATGCACTGTGACAGAATTCACCTCGACGGCTTGACACACCATTGCCCGTATGTTGCCATACTTGCTTCGCAACCGATGCAAGTTCATTTGGGTATATCACACATGACAAGAGCGAAGTGACGTTTGCTGACTCGGATTTTGGACGTGGAGAAGGGACAAATTCTACAACACGCACGCTATGCGAGTCGCCTGTAGATAATCTCGACAGGATGAATGAACGACAGATATGGGCAGTTTTGGCGGAAGGAAACAACATGGCGGACTCCGTGTTCGGATTTCCGTAGCATTGCACAACCTCTTTCGCAAGTTCTTTAATAGTCGGGTGTACGAAGAATCGAGGATAACCGCATTGCATCTTACTTATGACCCACGGCTCTCCTTCTTCGTACCCAACATTGGCTTTCCATGTTGGAAGCGAAACACTGACTGCCTTGTTTCCGTTAGTGATATGAGATATATTGTGCGCGGGGCTAGGTATTGTAGCAGTGGTAGTAGACTAAAAGAATACTCATGATGGAGTGTTTGTTTTTTAAGAACGGCAAAGGCCAGGCGGGGGAGGGAAGAGACTGCAACATACATGGTCAGTATTAGGAGGTACAGGGCCCCCGATGTCCTGCAGCATGATGAGAGTGGAGGTTGATCGAGGAGTAAAATGGACTTTTTCAGACAATCAAGGCCACTGTGAAGAGAAGGGAACAACGGAAGGATATACGTTAAGAATGTTTCATGGTCGCGAAGCACTTTTGCTAAAGGTATGAATCAACAGGGTGGGTACTACCCACCAGCGACTTCGGAGATGTCTAAAGGAGCTGACCAATAATATTTTACCCATCCGCGAGACAACTGGTCGGTTGATCTTTGTCGAGAGAAGCTCACCGCTTGAGTGCTACAATTTTACAATTATGGATTGAAATAGCTACATATAAGAGACATCAGGCTTAGGGCCTAGTTATGCTTCTACTCAGGTTTTAAGATCTTTAGTAGTATTATATACCTAAGATATACTCCGTACAGTAGTTCATCCAACGCAAACCTTCAAGGCTGCCTACAGCAAACTACAACATATAATAGCAGAGCGCTTCGCGCTCAGCTACCAGTTGGTACACTAGTAATATGTTAGGGATACCAGTGACCATGCGCATACATACATACATATCTTCATATTCCAATGGATAGTCCATCTCAGTAACACACTAAATGATCATGTTTTTCTATACAGCGGATCAGCTGGGAGATACACTACTTGGTATCTATGCCCTAATTCGATGCTTCAGCATCAATACAAGGAAACTAGTGTAGAATATGTATATATAGGGGTATTGTTCTAACTTTATTGCGTGTCTTCCTAGTTACTTGAACATGTTCATCATCTATATATAGTACTTGTTAAGTGCCTAGTAATACTGTGAAAAACATCACAGTACTGGTATTTCTGTATTAGTATCCTGTACATACATGTATGTGAATTGTACATGGTGGTTGAAGTTCCACAAACACGTGACCTAATATGGGTGCTTATTCAATGTACCTTGCCGTTACCATTTCAAGAAAAAAAAAAAAAAAAGAAGAAAAAAGAAAAAGAACTTAAAACAATTACACACTGTATCAGACACTCACTTAGTGTTGCTTTTCTTCATCCGCAATACTGGAGGCGTGTCTTGATTCTTTTCTTTTCCTATTCCTATCTCTCTCTAGCTAGTCCACTTTTTATCGCCCACGCTTTTGCAGTCTGTATCTTTAACCATGTCGGCTCACACAGCGAAGAGGAGAAAGCTCAGCCCATCTCCTCAAATAACACAGAAAGCTGAGCAATCGAACTCGTCGAATTTGAATGATTTCTCAAAGATAGCTAGGGATGAGCCTTCAAGTATGAATGGTTTGACTAGACACAAAAAGATTGATCGCTCTGCGGAGCTTGCGTTGGCCAGCGGTGTCTACAAGTCTAATCTCTTCAAGCTACAGTTAGACGAACTTCTCACTGAATCAAGGCCAAACTATGACAAGCATGTGTCAAAGCTCCAGGATACTCTCCATAAGCTGAAGGAAGTCATTGAAAAGATTCCCGAAAGACCCCCGAAACCCGCCGTTGAAGCCGAGAAGGAATTCCGCAGCACACATGGCATTGTCGTTCCATACCCTGAGCCACGTCCGGGGAAAGATGCAAAGTACACTGTGTCATATAGCAAGCCAAAAAACGTCAATGTGGTGGGGAGTTTTGTTCTCAGGACAGGTGTCAGAGCTTCTGAGCCTTACACAGTTGATTTGGCAGTGACAATGCCGAGAACCGTTTTCCAGGAGAAGGATTATGTCAATCATCGATTTTTCCATAAGAGGGCATACTATATTGCATGTCTTGCTGCTGGAATTAAAGATGCTAGGGGTTTGAACTTTGATGTCAAGTTTGCACAGCAGGACGGAGATAGTCTTCGCCCGCTCATTCTTTTAGAGCCTACAGACGTGGCTAAGAATGGCTCTCAATCCATGAGATCACAAATCCGCATCTTCACCGCGATTGAAGACACTTTGTTTCCCATTGTTCGTACTCTTCCTATGAAGAATAACCTGCGTCAAGGTTCACCGGACCAGTCTGAATCTCGTGCGCCTACTCCCTTTTACAATGCAGCTCTCCGTTCCGAAGCTACAGTGGCACCCTTTCACAAACTCCTGCACTCAACAGCTCAAATATGTGATTCATTTAGGGATGCTTGTATCCTTGGACGGATATGGCTCCGTCAACGTGGATTTGGATCTTCCTTTCAACAAGGCGGGTTTGGAGGATTCGAGTGGACCATTTTGATGTCTCTCTTATTTGAAGGAGGTGGCTTCAACGGCAAACCAATACTTCTGAAATCGTACAGTAGCTACCAGCTATTCAAAGCGACCATTCAGTTTCTTGCAGGAAGGAATTTGCTTAATC